TATTTTGATATTGCAGAATATTTTTCTCTTGTTGACTAAAATAGAAAATGTTATATGTTTAATGGTTTAAATTGAAAAAAAATAAAATACAGTGAACCAACAGAATAATGCATGATGTTTTGTGGAATTAAACTGATACGTGAAAATTATTTTTCAGCAAATAAAACCCTAACGTTAAATTATGCATAAGTAATGTAATACTTTTGACATTGGAAATGGTGTGGTCTTAGTGTTTGTTTTCTGGCACAGTAATTTTATGTAGGCGAAAAAACAAAAAAATTTGTTTAGTCTCTGAACAAACTCTTGCTCACATGTTTGCTTTGTCCTCTCCTGTGTGCTTCATTGAACAGCCAAGTGCAAATAGGTGGACTTTCACCTAAATAAGTTGCAGTTTGTTGTGTTTAATTTTATTTTAGGCTTAAAGAGTGAAAAGGACTTCATATAAATAAGCCCCACACTTTTCACACTGGAATAACTTAATTTGGAAAAGATGATTTCATTCTTCCTTGTTTTGTTTAAAAATCTAATTTTATTCTGTAACAAAATGCAAAAATGGAAAACAATCCCAGGGGCATTAATGGTTTACAAGGTACTGTGGCAGGTAGAGCCAAGTTCTGTTGGGAAAATAAATAAAATATTACATGCAAACCAGGGCAATAAGTTCAACTGATCTGAGACAACCTTGGGAAGGCCTCCATCACAAAAGATGCACTCCTGCCATGTCATTTAGATGCCACGCTACAAGGCGGGAGCAAACACAAGGCCAGGGTGCAGATTTATGTTTCTGCCTAAGCAGAATGAACAGTAGCAGAGCTATCTAGGGTTTAGGGGGAAATGAACCTTTTCATCACATTGAATTCCCAAAGTACCTGGAAAAAAAAAAAACTTTGTCAGCCGTGGCATTTGGGTCTGATTGTGACGGATCTCCCCACACCCTGGGTCCTTTGTTAGGATTGGATTCCTAGTAGTTTGTTGTCCTGGTCTTATGATATTTGAGTAACAAGCAATATTTGTTCTTGAGTTGTACATTTTATTCGATCAATATCAGCTTTTCCTCATTTGGTTTTAATGCCATTGGCTTTTCAGCAAAATAGCGTCGGTCAACCATCGTTTTTTAAGCCGTAGGTTTCTGTCTTTTCTTGGGTTTCGTCTATGAGATTCAATATTTCAGCACCTGACATTTGGATATATTTCAGTTCTGAATAGTAATGTGATGTTCATGAATTACAGAAAATGAGCTCAATCCTTTTAGCTTGAAATGTCACTTGAAATTATCAACCGTCTGCATTGCATTGGGTCACTCTTTGGTATTTAAAAACAGACACAGCATCAATTGAACAGCAGACATTGATAATGGGCCTTTTTAAAGTTGGTGACAGAAGAATATGAGAAATTTTAGCTTTATTCTTCCAATGACAGCCCATACAAAGAAACTGAAAATAATATCTTACTATACCAGTAACATTCTGGCAAAATTGTATTTTGTAAGCTCTGAGACCAATGCAGTTCTGTTGAATTTTCACAGTGCCTTCATTTGTACAACTTAATGTGCCACCCACTGCTTTCAGAAGTTCAAAAAAATGGAAATAGTGTGTGGTTATGTATACTCATAAATTCCACTGTTCTGTGAAAGCCTCAGATATTTGTTAAAAAACATATGCAAAGTTTTCAATAGGACACTGTTTAATCTATCTTCTGAAAGTTAAAAGAATTTGACACAATTGGAAACATAAGTCAATCTAAGGCAAAAAGCTGGTTAAGGAGAGCATTAAGCAGAGGGACAGCTAAGAAAACCATGGTAACTCTAGGAGAGCTGCAGAAATCCACAGCTCAGGTGTTGAGAGTACAATACAAATCTTACATTCAAATAATTGTGTTTATATCTGTAAGAGCAACAAGAAAAAAAAGAATTCTTTGTTGAAAAACATGAAAAGTCATGTTTGCATGTAGGGACATAGTGAACTTCTGACAAAAGGAGCTCCAGTTAGATTGGACCAAAATGAAACTGCTTGGCCTTTGTGCAAAATGGAGTATTTGGTGAAAATCTAAAACTGCACTTCACCTTGAACCCACACTCCCCACGATGGATGACTACTTCTTTGGGGATGCTTTTTTTCATCACATTGATAAAAAAAATCTATGTGATCTCTGGTGATCTCAAAATGTTTGCCAGAATGTTACCAGATAACTGGTTTGAGATCACAAGGAATGGAAGAAAACTCAAGACTGAGGCAAACACCCCGAACATATCCATCCACAACTGGACTGGTATGGTATGGATCAGGGCATAATTGTGTTTTAGAATGGCCTACTCAAAGTCCAGGCCTTAGGCCACTTGAGATAAACCTTGAAAATTGATGTGAACAGATGCTCTGCACTATTTGCAAACGCAATTTCAGTCTACATGTGCAAAGCTAGTAGAGACAACCCCCGAAAGACTTGCAAGTGTAACTGCAGTGAAAGGTGGCTCGACAAGTACTAACTCAGGGGAACTGAATGCGAAGGCACACCACAACGTGTTAAAACATGAATACTTCTTCTAGGCACTGCATGGGCCACTGTGGAGTACCAAAATTACAAATAACACAACATTGAACCTGCGTGTGTAATTATCAAAAATGGTACCTGTTTTTATTGGAAGAGCAAACCAAGGGGAGTGTGCTCTGCATTGGGGAGTTGCACTGACATTTTAATCCTTGTTGACAGCACTAAAAAATGTGTTGAAACAGATATCATTTCATGCTGATCACACCTACTGGAAGAAACTGCAAATGTTTCTTGCAAACGCTTACAAGTTACTGGCAGTTCATCGCAAAACAAAAACAGCACCTTTCCATCAACAAATCTGTTGGAGAACACAGAAAACATTTAGCAGCATCTCAAAAAGGTGTTTGTGCTTCTAGGAGCGGGAAGTTAGGAAGGAGAAAGCTTGGCTTGTTTCTTTCTGCCTTTCCTCCATGTGTTACAGAGATAGAGGGATATAGGCCGGGACAAGCGTATCATCTCATTCACAGGTTTGATCCTCCCAGGCCATAATTCCATATCTTGAGTTGCTGTGCAGTGTTTGCTAAGACCTCATCACCTCTCCAGCTTGTGGATCCACCAAAGACTTTGCTGTTTTCTGCCGAAGCCTTTGGGCAATTTCAGGCTGCATTGTGAGAGTGCTTAACTACAAACAACAGCTTTGTTTCAGAAGGCTGCTTGCTACAGCAGTACTATCAAATGTTTGTTTTAAACCCCATAGCAAGTAATGAGCTGCCTGCCCAATGGCAAGACTTTTTTTTTTATATAAATTTGAATTATTGCTTGAAGATTTAATTTATTTACATTGCTCTTTATTCTTCAAAATAAAAATTTTAATCTCCATTAAGAAACTTCTTCCAGGCATTGGTCTTTTGGTCCCCTTTAATGCATGTCATTATATGATAGCAATCATTATATGTAATTAAGCATAAAGAGCAGCCTTTCCAATAATTATCTATTTTCTGTGTAAAACCTAATAAGCATGTCAGCCCGTTACATTTTGCTGCAATTTACATCTCTGCTGTTTTTGTATCTTTGAAATCAAATGCCAGCTGTGACCTACCACCAGTCTTAAATCCTAATCAGCATCCTTCCTGCTGCATTTTGCCAGATTTTCTCTTTGGAGAGCAGCACAACACAGTTTAAATTACCTTAAATGGGGGGAAAAAATCCCAGGAGGGAGCTGGCCAGGCCTAAAGGGACTGAGGATTAAGAATGTGTAATTTATTCAATGAAGCCACTTTGCCTCCTGCCCTCTGTGGTTGCTCACTTGTACTCATACAGAAGAAGAAGGTTATTCTGAATTTAATAGTGTAAAAAGGTATGAAAGATACAGGCTGACCTTACTCAGCTTTTCTACGCTTTTGTATGTAGCTCAATGAGTGATGGACTCTGGCAAGGATGTAGAACATTAAAAGTAGCTACAGATTTGCTCAGACTTAAAAATCAGTTTTTAATTTTAATTGTTTTTTTTGTTTTTTTTGCACCAATAGTTTAATAGAGAAAATGTTAAAATAATAACCAGATACTCACAAATATTTTGTAATTAATTGCAGTTTAATTAAACCAGACTATGTTTTTCTGATTTAGTTCGGTTAAGAATATCAAAATTATTATCAAAGACAAAAACAATTTCAGTAGGATTTTTTGAAACCTAAGTCAACTTTAGAGGTTTATACATGTTTATTAGAATTGTCTTTTAAACTGTTTAACTTGGATCAAATATTTTAGATATGCTTCCCCAAGCCTCTCACGATATTCGCTGGGATTTGGGCCGTTTTCCTCCTATAAGAACTGGTTTAATTTTTAAATCCAATGTTAAATATTTTCACAGATTTTGACAGGGATATTTTTCTGGGGCTTGCCAGATATATCTCGGCACACATTCCCCAGTAAAATGGGTCTGGTCACTGCCATGATTTCACACCTTTAGAAGAACATTAAAAATGAGTTACAAAGCATCAAAAATTGAAATCACAATCATGTCTGTGATGAATGCATGGAAAGTTTGTACTGGAGCTGTAGCTATTGCATGGCTATGGTTCTATAGTTTAGAGTTTTTTTTAAATAAATTTGTCTTTTACCATTTTATTTGGAGACTGTTGTCTTTGACTGTGATAGCAAATGACACAAGCAGAGCCAACTGCTATAGTTATAAATAAAGATCAAGAATGTAATTGATTATTAAAATAAACAAAACTTGAGCAGTAAGGTTTTGCTGCTGTTGCACTTCAGTCCACTGCTCTTACACTTTCTGTACTCTCTATGATTGTAAATAAGCTTGTCAGCCAAGAAAGCTAAACAACTATTTTTGAAATAGGTTAGGACAGAGTTTGTTCAGCATTGTTCTAGTAAAGGTTACAGAAATCTTGCACAGTATCTCTACAGCTGCAGTTGCCAGGTCTATATAGGTTGCCTAATCAGTGAGATGTGTCTTTTTCTCTGCTCTTTTTCATTCTGTTTCTCCTTCCTGTCAGCTCTGAGGGATCACAGAATTGAGCTTGTACGAGCCACGTCACAGGAGCTCACCATCAGAATCAATGACGTCAGCCTGTCAGACGAGGGCCTGTATACATGCTCACTCTTCACCATGCCTGTCAAGACAACCAAGGCCTTCCTCACTGTTTTAGGTGAGCATGACCAGTTTATCCACTTGCTTCCTCCTGCATTAGATTTTTCAAATGCACACTTCAAATTATGATGTATTGTGGTATCTGTAACCATGATATACTGGAGTATATCTGAGAAACAACTAGATTTTAAATTCTATTCTTTATGCAGGGAGCAAGGAAAGTGTTTTAAGGTCTCTGGGCACAGCATTTTGGAAGTTCTGCAGCTGATAAAAAAGTTCTACACCAATTCAATAATCTAACTAAATGAAAACAAAAGCATTCACCAGTTGCAAAAGAATTCTGGAAATGATGCATGTGATGTTATCAAAGGACGATATGGATAACTAAACTTAAATGAGTAGCAATTAGCAAATTAGTGCTCCACATGTATTCAGAATGCTAATCTTGTTTATGCTTCGATGCACCACAGGAGTGCCAAGTCGGCCAGAAATCACAGGATTTACCAAGCCAGCCATGGAGGGAGACGAAATCACCCTGACATGCATCACATCAGGCAGCAAACCTGCTGCCAACATTCGGTGGTTCCGAAACGACAAGGAGGTCCAAGGTAAGCCTGTGATATGGATTTAACAGAGAACTGTATCCTCTCTTACAACCTGCACTCTCTAGGAGACATTCATACTGTCAAGTCATTCAACTGCTGCAATTCCTTTGTGCTCATATTCATGCTCCGTTACACTGGTCTGGGCATTGCTGCTGTCCTTGTAAGCTGACAGATGTCACAGAACTGGCCACATATGGGAGATTTTAAAGCACATGATGTGGCCCTGTTTTGTGGGCTGTGTTTTAGAATGAAAATTGTACAATTGTGTGTGTTACGGATTTGGGGCAGAAAAAGTTACTTTGCAGTGGCTTTGGGGCAATTTCTAAGGATGTTGACCCCTGCACATAATCTGTTTTTTTTTTTGATCAACCTGCACAAGCTGCAAATTATGTCAAACTGATTAACTGTCAGAATTCAACTTATAGGTTTACATATCACCTCTGTATCAATAATAAATAATAACTGAAGTTATTTGAAACAGTTTCTTATGTTTATTCTTGTTTCTACATTTTTAATGATGACCTTCCCACTTGTGGATGAAGATTACTATTCTATCTACAACATATTATAGTTGATTAAGCATTATTTGAATTTATCAGAATACATGTCATCATATGTCATATGACCTTGAATTTTAACTCTTATAGGACTTGATCTACTAAGGTGAGTGAATATTCATCAATGCATATGACCATCTGCAAAGCCTGAAAAGAAATTAAGCAAAGTTGACATTTGAGTAGCAGCTGCAAATGTTCTATAGCTGTAATGCAAAAGTCTGTGTCTACAAGATGCATTTTTTTGCTTCATGGAAATCTGGTTTAGCTTGTAATCAGATTATGTATTCTATAATATCAAATGGGAAGAAATGCAATAGTAGAGCTTTGTTTACTTAAGTTGCAAAAGTTAGTAAACATAAAATAAAAGATGCAATTCTGCAGCTGAAAAAAGTGCAGAAAGAAACCCACATGCAAATTCAATACTAAAAGATTCAACACCAGTTGGTCCCTAGCTTAATGACAGAGCTGGTGCTGTACAGAGATCTTTAATACAATGGAGCTTTCTGTGGAGGTTCTGTGTGACAGTTGCTCTTTATTGAAGATTTGCACCAGAGAGCTTTTTCTTGGTGGTTCTGTCTGTGTCTGGCCAACATGGCATGATGATTGATGGGAAAAGAGCTGGAATATGAAGTTTTCCTGTTGGAATGACATGCACGTAGCTTCCTGAAAGGGCAGTGGAGAACTGGCTCACAGCAACACAACCAGACACGCTGTCCATCTCCAGAGGCACTCAGATGATCTCTTTTGTACTTCAGAGTTATAAAATGCACTTTAGGATAAATCATTTAACCCCAGAAATCTATACTAGTATATGGACATACTTTTACTGAATTTACTCCACATCTAAAGAATGAAATGGCATGTATGTCTGGGATAAGTAAACCCCATAACTCTAAAAATAATCAGGCTCCACGGGTCTGCATCAGACCGGTGTCTTGTGTACAGATGTTTTATTAGTTTTATTTGGGTGCACTGGGTTTGATGCCGCTGGGGCAAACAGACTTGTGTGCACCTCACAAAGAGTGATAGAGAACATTGCAAAGACTGAAAGTCTTGACATAAATACCTAATTTCCATGTCAAAGTGTCAAAGATGGGGAATGTCAATCGGTGCTCCAGGATCTAAATCCTTTGTAGGCTTTGCGTTCAAGCTTTCTTTGGTGTGCATATATGCTAGGAGGAGCATGTTTTGCCACTGGTTCTTCTGTGGAAGATCATTGCCACCAGTGTCTGCTGTCAGTCAAACGTTTCCCTGCAGGGTGGGGGAGACCAGCCTCTGTTGCTCCAAGACGATTGCAGGTGTAATAGCTAAAAGATGTCATATTTATTTCATGCTCTGATGATTTGTTTTTCAAAAATGTATATTAGAAGCACACAGCCTTACAAACCTCAAAGTGCAACTGTCATCCAGAGTCAAGTAATTTGTTTACAGGGAGCTGAGCAATACAAATTTCTTGTGCCACTGAATGACAGCTCTGCTTCAAATTGTAATCTGCTGATTAAAAATCCACCCACCATCACTCTGTTTGCATACACAAAGTTTCCTTTCCTTTGTGACAAACAGATGAATTCCAATTATCTATTCAAGGCAAGCAAACTTCTTAAGACATTTGAATTCAGATAATGAGAAACCATGTTATCACGAATTTTGTATGAAATTCACCTTTGATCAGTTGAGCTGCTTTTTTGAAAGGAAAAAGAGAGCAACAGTGATATTATGTGGTGTACGAGGCCAAGGAGTATAACTTCAGTTTATTTATTTAGATTTTCTGAAAGAAATTAACTTAAAGTAGTTCAAAATTAGGAGGTAAGAGAGAAATAAAGGTTTCAAAGGTTTTACAAATAAAAAGTCTGACTTTCATCCAAAGGCCAGCCACCACCTTCCTTTTTCTGAGTCAATAGTTTTGCTGCAAATCTTTTGGGATATGTTTCCACCAGCTATTCTATCTAGAAACCCACATTTTTGTAACCTTCTTACAAAATATTTAAAAATTGGACTAATTGGTTGGAGAGATGATCTGAACAATAATTTAAATGTCAAATCACAAATTCTCAAACCAATTTACCACAATACTTTGACATTATAGCATTTGGAATTTCTTTCTTCTAAACCATTTTATTGGATCGTTCAAGAAGTAAATAGATCATCCTGTAATAGATTTTTTTCCATCTCCTCTTCAACTCAGAACCGTTTTTTGTGTGTGTGTGTGTGTAGCTGTCAATCATCCATTTATCATTTTGTATAACTTTTATACAAACGTTATATCGCTTTTGTATAAAGCCAGATGGAAAATTAGTCGCCATGGAATTGGGAGTTCTGGATTCTGGATTCTTTCCTGACACTTCACAAAATGTCGTAGAGCAAGACAATGTACCCCAACTTGCCTTTTATGGACAGCAAAAGAAATACTGTACAACAAGATCTTTCACAATTAGTTTTGGTCATAACATCTTGGACGTCTTTTAAGTCAATCGCTGAGGTGCTAATGCTCTGCTTACAAGCATGCTTAAATTTGCCAGACTGTCGGTCCTCTGGCCTCTTGGGCGTTGGTTGAAAGCAGAAGCACCTGGGCATATTCCTGTTTCTTACGAAAGCTGGCACGACATGCTCTCTGGCGATGCCAGCAGCCGCCTTGAAACAGGCTGACAGCTTCTCTGTTGCAGCTCCAGTGCTGCAGGCGGCTTGACAAAATGAAAGTAAACACTGCAGAGATTTCTGTTTTATGCCACAGAGACACTTCCTTTACCATCTCTGTGCAGAAATGCAAAATTCTGAACATTCAACTTTAGATAAAAGTCTTATCATTTTGCTCTTTTTTAACTGTAGAGGCTTTTTGGGACTATTGCTATTACTTTTTCACTTGTGTGCTTTTTCAGGTCCTTATTAACTATAATAAATAATTTTCTGAAATTAGGATATTGTAAAGGATATCAAGTCTTTAAAATTCCAAATTGTTGTTCTGAATAGACTGTATCTGCTTTGGGATGTGATGGAGCAGATCAGCCCAAGTTATGAGGGTATTACTGGCATAGCTTTCATTGCAAATAGGTGTTAGCCTTTAAAACTCATTTGTGTTTTTTCTGATGCATATCACAAAAAAAAAACGAAGCAAGTTTTTATGATGTGTACACCCCCAACTAATATATACACCCTCTAAACAGAAAGCAAGTGCAATTTTCCGGCAAAGGCATAAAGATGAGTGAAAGTAGTGTGTTTTACTGCTCTCTGGGCCACTGAATAAATTTGAATGTGATCACAGTTATACGCTCTCTCAATTAATAAATGTCCTGTCATGACTGCGTAATGCGTTCCTTTGTGTTTTTTGTTACGTCAGACTCCAACCCATTCTCAAGCCATTAGCAAGTTTATTCCAGAATTTCCCGGTATGTAGCTTTTCCCCACTGACGAAAGACGCCCCCACGGCATGATGATGCCTCCTCTATGTTCCAAGGTGAGAGTGATCCATCAAGATGTTAGTTTTACACATACTATTTTGCAAGTTGTCAAAAAAATGCTTTGTTTCGCAAGTTTTCTCTGTCCACTAAGTCTTCATGCTGTCCTCATAAAAGAAATTCAATTTTGTGTTTGTAATGTTACAAAACACAGAAATAACAGGGAAACAAAACTTTCCTTGTTAAATTTTTAAAAAGGGAAATATTTAATTATATTTGAAAACTGTCAGTTGTGGAGAAGAACGTTGGAGTGTTATTTTCCTCTCTACCTCCTTTGAGGGAGAGAATCTCTGGCCTCTGAAAGCCGAGGCGAGAAAAAGAGAATAGAGAAGAGAGAGGAATGTGAGCGTTGACTCGGTTGGTTGAGTGTGTTTGCTCCTCTAGGACCATCTCTCAAACATCCCACTCAAACAAAAACACACACTTCACCAGAAGACTGGGGGGAATTTTTGCAGTTGTTGTCACACTTTCACATATTCTTTTGTTTTGTTTTAGTTTCATTCGCAGATGTTCACTCTTAAACAGTTCTAGATGCTGGTTCTGGTTTTGGTTGACTTTTGAAGATTTCGTCATTGTTCGTGCATCCAAGATTGAAATTTTACAAATTTCTGCGTAGCCTTCACCCAACACTAACTCTGGTACTGTCACAGATCTCAAAAACAAAGAAAAAAATTGACAATTAGTTAGGGGCTGTAACTCTTCTGACTGATTTGATAGGTCAGATTTTTCAGTTCAAATGTGGTGCTAACATCGAAGTTGGTGTAATACAAGAAGAAGAACAGGAGGCATAGGTGGATTAAAAAGAAAAAGATAAGGAAGAGAAAAGGAAAAACAAACAGATGAGTGGATAGAACATGTTTTATTTTTCGGCAGGTTGTTTTTATGCTGGCCTGCAAATAAATGGAAATGCAGCCGCCATCAGAGCAATGTGGTCTCTCAATTAAAATAAGCACTGCTGTGATTACTTAATATGCTTCTCATGGGTTTTGTCAGGAATGTGATGCCATATTGGAGGTCCATCTTTCTGCTGGATGAAGGCCCTGAACGTAAAATCAGTCCTACAATAAAAGACTGTTTGTCTATCACACACAATCAAAGTAAAATCTATTGATCTTTGTTGTAAAGGGACAAAATGTAGAAAAGTTTAATGTTCTTAGCACTTTTACACAGCACTGAATTTCAATATAAACATACGCCAATAACTCAAATTCAACAGTTACTCTTTACATTAATTTGCATGTATTTCTCTCACTATAGGCACCACAGAGGTCAATGCTACAGGAAAATCCTTCACAGTAAGGACTAGCCTCCTTTTCCAAGTGGACAAACGGGATGATGGCGTTGCTTACACCTGCAGTGTGGAGCACGTGTCTCTGTACAAACCCTACATGACAACTGAGGTCCTGGAGGTTCACTGTGAGTATCATCACCCATAAAGACGGATTAGGTGTAAGTGCCGAAAGTTAATACAGAGAGGAGAATGTCAGATTTTACATTCATGTCTGCATGTGTGGCTTTGCATCTGTTATAGATTAGTGTAGGTTTAACTTGCAGGTAATGGATTGCTTCCAACATACAACAAAGATAGAGACTAAAGCTAAGGCTACCCAGAGGATAAAGAGCTAACTATCTTTATGCTTTGTTAGTGTTAAAGCTTGTTTTGTACACAGTCATATTACAGTATTGAATCTTTGTCTTTTTTTTCTGTTTTCTTTGTAGATGCTCCTCAGCTGGAAATCACACATTCACTGATAATTCCACTGGAAGGACAATACTTCAAACTGGAATGTGTCTCCATAGGCAACCCAATGTAAGTTTGACTTCATTCAAAGTTACAATTTGCAGTTGCTCACTTTTAAGAGCTGCATTTAAGATGTTGTTTCTTCCCTTGCCTCTCCTTTATGTACTTTATTAATTAGAAAACCTATATAAAAAAATACAACCTACAGGATTTTCTTTGGTGTTTTCTTTCCCAGACCTGAACCAGTGCTCTGGTCTAAAGATGGAGGAGAGCTGCCAGACATTGAGCGTATGATTGTGGAGGGCAGAGAGCTTACCATCACGACACTAAACAAAACAGACAATGGCACATATCGCTGTGAGGCCAGCAACCATGTGGGAACCAGCTTTGCTGAATATATTCTGTTTGTATATGGTGGGTACATAACTGAAGGCTTGTTTTGTTGTTTAAGATCAAAAGTTTTGTTTCATGACTTATTATTGTTTCATGTCAATAATTTAGTGATTAAAGGGGAAAAAAACAGCAGTATAGCAAGTCTTTACCTAGCACAAGAAAAACAGAATAAAACTGTTAGAAAAAGATTGCTGGTAAGCATTATCTCCCATTTTATTGATGGAAAAGATTTCCAACAACAAAAACAATAAAATGCACATGTAATATCTTGAGAAATTCAGACAAAGTATTCTTGGTCTGGTTAAAACTGAACAGCAATATTGAGGTTTGATTTAGTAGTGTATTAATAAGTGTGATATAGTAGGATGTCATTTCACTTCTACCATCTACTCAGTCTATTTCAAAGTGACCTAATTACTGTTCTGCTTCCTCCATCCACCATGTCATATGTGAATAACATAATGAAATGTGTGGACATTCAGAGTTTTTCACCAGCATCTAAATCATTGTGAAAAAGTATTTATTCTCTGCCAGATTTGTTCTGCTTTTGCTTTTTTGTCACACTTAAAAGTTGCAGTTCAATTCAGGTCAATTGTAACAGGAGATAATCTGAGTAAATATAAAATTCAATTTTCCAATGTTTATGATTAAATAAGGGGGGGAAAGGCTACATAAACAATTATGGTCCTTTGTGAAAATGTAATTGACCCAAAAACCTAATTTTCTCATTGTGTCACCTTTGACATAAATAATTGCTATCAAACGGTTTTTAATAACTGACAATCAGACTTTTACATCACTGAGGACTTATCCGCAATACTTTTCACAGAGTTGTTCAACCCGGACATTTTGGGGGGGGTTACAAGAATAAAAGTTTTTGTGTAATGTAATGTCACAGCACCTCAATTGGATTAAGTTGAGGCTCTTGCTAGCATACTCCAAGTATTTTTTCTTTTGCATTATTTACCATTTAAATGGGGACGAGACTGGTGATTGTCCTAGTGTATATTCCAAGTATATTTGGGCTTGATGTCATGAAGTGACTGTCAAATATTCACTCTTAGGATGATGTAATAAAGAGCAGAATTTATCAGTTTATCAATTACAGCAATGTCTTAAAGCAGCATCACACCATCCCTCTACTACCACCATGTTTAACTGGTGGTAAAAAACCTTTTTCTCTCTCTTAGACATATTGGTTTACATGTCAGTGCAAACCTGGAGTTATATTAGTGGCCCAGAAACAGTTTACCACTGTTTAGTGTTTTTTCCATTTGTGAATAATCTCTCTCAATATAGTTCACTGGAGTCCCTGGGTCACAGAGATGGCTTTTCAAGCCTTTCCATTGTGATAGATGTTATCATCTATGCTTGAATATCCTTAGATATGGACATTGTTGCTTTTTGAGATCTTACTTTGTGTTATTAGATGGGCTATAGTTAAGTAGCTTCTTGATTCTACATGATTTCATTCATGATTTCACAATGAGGTGTTATGAAGTACTAACATTTGTGTGTTGATTAAAAACATTTAATTATGAAAAAAAAAAAAAAACCTACAAGAGGATAAGCATTTTTTAAATTCAGCTCTGTCTCAATATGGATTGCCAGTAAAAGAATTTTGTGCCTAAAATTGCTAGAAAATTTCATTCAATAATAAAATTTGATCATTCTTTAATCGGGACATACCTACATTTTGTATTATAGTTTCACAAAGGCATTAACCACATGTTTAGAGGAGACTTCAAGCCACAAATCATCTGATTACTTTGTATTAATTGAGTGGGGAGCACAGGTGTGTTGATGTCGAGGTAAAACGCAAAGGCTGTTGTAGTTACTTCATTATTTTAACATAGCTATGGGAATGAACATAACACAAGTTGATAATTGTATTATTGTGTAGCTCACTGCCAAACCTTGAACTATCGGAGGATGAAAGTATCAAATTTTGCTTAGTTGCAGTTCAGGAAAAGACACTGTAATCCCAAGACAATCACTGGGTTGAAAAAGCAAACACTGTGTTGCAGGAAATAAATCATCACTGCTTTTCTGTTGTGTTTATAGGTTTTATTAAATTAATCGATGAATCCAAATTGGAAACGAGAGCACTGTGTTTTTGAGAAGAACTTCTTCAACGTAGGGGAGTTTCTCGCCTCACAAGTCATTACTTGATCCATAACAGGATCTTTGGGAGATTTAGAAGGGCTTTAGGATAAGAATAAAGAAGTGGTACTATTTTTCTTTCAAATCATGTCATCTCTGTGATTTGTCATTCAAAGAGTATGAAAAGAGGACAAAGTATGGTCTGTATTGTCCTATCTTACCTGCTGCCCTTAGGTCAGTTTTTTGTCACATTTCAAATCTAAAAGGCTATTTAAGAATTTGTAGTATTATTTCAGATTTTTTTAATTATTAAATTTACTAATATTGCAAGGTTTTTATATGCTCAGAAGCTTTTCAAGTCTTACACAATCAACTAAAGAAATGTGAAGTTCATCTCTTAGTAACCCTCGCACACAGAGGTTCTAGTCACTTGGAAAAATGAAAAATTGAGTCAAGCAGGTAAAAGATGGGTTTGACAGACTCATTTCCACTGATGATGACACTCATTCTTCAGGGCTACGTTGTGATGAGCTAAATTCTTGCCAGGTCTGTTCGGATCATCTCAGCCTCTAAACCTAATTTGCTAATGACAGGGAAGCCGAGGAGCCATAAATGTCATCCATCAAGCACAATTTATCACTGTCTGAAAATACTGCCTTTAATACACCATCCCAAGCACAATAAGAAACACAGCATACAAGACTTTAAAGCTGTATAAAAATTTGTTTTCCTAAATAAAGAGGAAATCCCTGTGAAGCTGTAGCTCATTTTGTTTATGTTTTACCCTCATATCGTTGTTTTTGAATATACAATTTCATCTTAATAGACTTGAAAGTGTGTTAAATAAACTTTTCTACTCTTAAAAATATTTTCCCCAAACATACTTGTTTTTTTTTTTCTGTATGTTTGTCGCATGTAAATGTCTCAAATCATCCAAACAAATGTTAATATCAGACAAAGAGAAACTGAGTGAATCTGAAACACAATTTACAAATAATAACTTGAGATTGATAGGATAAAATCAGCCTTCAAGCTACACTAAAGCCCATGTGGAAAAGTAATCTAGTGTCTGGTTGTGCCATCCTCAACAGCAACAACTTCCCTCAAGCAATGGCGATAACTGACAAGGAGTCTTTTGAATTGAAGTGGACAAAGTCTGGAGATTATTTAACTCAGCAGCACTGGAGGGTTTTTAAACTTGAATGGCTTGTTAAGGTCATGTCTCCTGTGTCTTGCTGTGTAACCCAATGGGAAAGGGCTGAAGGTCATGAACTGATAGCCTGATATTGTTCTTCAGGACAGGGGCCGACTCCATGGTTTACAGATACAGCAAATTACCCATTTTCTGAGAAGATGTTGTCTCACTTTAGACTACTTCATATTCTCAGCCACTACTTAAAGGATTTCTTCTTTCTACAGATCAGCTAATAATTGAACTGAATGTGAAAACTCAAGGGGGAAATGATTTACATAGGGCAAGATTGTTTTTTCTAATAAATGAAATGACCATTTGAAAACTACTGCTTTAACATTATTATGAGAATGAATAATGTTAATTCTCTGGAATTAACATTAGTTAATACAAAAACAAGCAAAAATAAAATTAAAGATTTATTTTTTTGTGCTAACCTATAAAATTGACTCCAGTAACTTTACATTTTCAAAGCATAACCAACCTTCCCTTTGCCAATTTTGAATTTTTGTAATGCAGAGATTCCATCATCAGTTTACTCAGAGCGGCATTAACATGGACACTTACACCCACCCCAAAGCCCCAACTCTTCATGCACTCACAAACATGATACTGAGCACACACTTGATGATTGATGAGCTAACAACCAAGCTATGAGCTAGAAAATAGACTTGTTTCAGATGATGAATTCAACGTGCTCTCCTTTTTGCTTTCCCGTTTTATACACAGAACTGTTTTGTTACACTGTTCCAGATTAGTTCAGATATTACAGGAGCAAGTTATCACATTATTTATTTAATATTCACAAATGACTGCACAAATAGAAATATATTTGCAGAGGCGGAAAATAGAAAACTCGAGCTGTTTGGAGTGTTCTTATGCTGAAGGGTTTTTTACCTGTTCAACAAATCAATAAGCATGCACTTGTGCTTCAATGATTGCCAAAGTCATATAATCCATGTGCAAGCTTTGGTTTATATCTCTGAATGTTATTAGTGTAGTAGTGTTTATGCATGACTTTCTCATTTTGATCCACAAGAGCACTCTGCAGGTAAAATATGATAAATGCTTACCTTGACAGTCAAAACAGCTTTTGTCTTATAATGGGAAAACATAAATAATTGAGAAATATTTCAGATGCAGTTCATTTTGATAAACAAATCATAAACTTTGTTTGGAACAAACATTTACTAGTAAACAGCCAAAGGTTTTGTTTTTATCTGATGCTTTTAGTGAAATGAATTCTATTTGTCATTAGGATTTGTCAAACATAGTGAAGGAACATTTGCAAGGCTACTTTAACCATTTGAAATTATTTGCAATATGGAATCAACTGCAGCAAAGAAAATCAAAATGTTGAAAAAGCCCCGGAAAAATAGCTTATATGTGTGTAATGAGGAACCTGTAGTAAATCTAAAAAGCATTATGTCCAACACATGGTTTACAAAGAAACTTTGCATCCACAACTTTATATGCTAACTGCCAGCACAAAGAACTTTTTAAAAAAGTACCCTTTTTCTATATTTTCTATAAATAAAAATGTAATTATTGTACTGAAAAGTGACAACACAGGGTTGTCAAAGAATATCTTAACCTTTAGCCATGTTAAGGATGGCTGTTCAAGCCATTTTGTAAAAATAAAAAGAGAATCTATGGCAAGACACAAATGTGGTTTTCACAAATACTATTAATTCTGTTTCAGCTTAAATTGATTTGCAAAGAAGAATGGGGAAAAGAGTTTAAACTTTAGATGTATAAATCTGATTTCAAAACAATTGTAGCTATAAATGCAAAAAAAAAAAAAAAAAACTAATTTGACCAGGGAGCCAAATAAATACATGCCACATTTTCTATTTCTATTTTTTCTACCTTACAGTAGATCAGTCACTAGATCTTCTTCAAATAACATTTTTGGTTATAATATGCAAAATTGTGACAAAGGTTTAAGTGCTAAGAATAGTTTTGTAACAGGACAAATAAGCAACAATGACAAAACAAACATTAAAAATGTATAAAGTCCAGTCAATTGATTTTCATTATTTTAGAGAAACTGAATGCCTGCGCTCCAGCACAATAGAAACGTAGAGACACAGAATGTCCTAACGGCATAAGAAACTTTCATTTATCAGAAGAAATGTGCATAAATGAGTAGTATCCAAGCCAATAAGAGCCTTGTAAATCAGAGTCATCCATTCCAGGAAGGCATGACAGCTTTAGAATATAGTTCATAGTCTCCAATGTTGAAACTTAATTATTAGGAAAAAAATGTCAAGTTGGAATGTTCTTAGCACAACATCAAAGCTTTTTCACTTAAGATATGTTATAGAGACAATGATAAGCAGGCATATGACCTAAAACATATGCAGCGCATTCAAAGAAATAGGCAGGTAACGAGCCCCAGGCACAGATCAACTGAACAGTCACTCAAGACCATAAAAATAGAGTGATGAATCTGTTCTCTGCCTATGACTAAGGAAGACTATGATATCTGTGCTGCTATACAAAAAAATAAATAAATAAAATAAAAATCATTATACACTGAGAGCTGTAATCCAGTTCTCAGTTGGACTTTAGAAGAGAACCAGAGGCCCAGTGAAAGCTGCTTTCTGCACAAATTATTACTGCATGCAGCAAAGATTTGCCCTGTCCTGTTGCTTTTTTGATCAGCCTTGGAGATCCCAGACCTTCAGTCGCAACCCAGTATTTAAAAGCTATGTATGACAAGATGTAAAAGCCTGCCTAAAGAGAACATCAAGGCAAAAAATTTACAAAATGACTCAGAGGGCATTAACAAATAGATCAACACTGTAGGATGAGCTTAATGCTGTGTTTAAAGATGCTGCGTGTGGACTACAGCACTGAACATGCAAAGATTTAAAAATGTTGCATTGATTATAAAATAAAGGTGATGTAATATATATATATATATATATATATATATATATATATATATATATATATATATATATATATATATTACATCACCAAAGGCTTATATCACCAAAGACTTAAATGAAATATGAAATTGCGAAATTTGAAAAAGAAAAAGTCAGGATAAGCTGCTATAACCTAGAGAGCATTGCTGGGGTTGTAAAGCTGTTCTGTTTTCACATTGAATGGTTACTTTCCAGGGAGCACAAGATAGATATCTTTTTCTGTAGTGGCTGTGTGGTGAAGGCTCTGCCCTTTTGCTTAGCATAATGCAAAGTTGGATTTGTGGAGCTCTTGCAAAACCAATAAATTAGTTTCAGAGGTGTTATTGTCAATTTACTATAAAAAATTCTTGTACAGGAAGTGGACTCAGTAAAGTCAGTGGGCAGCGACTATGAGTTTATCTTTGAAAAAAAAATCGCCAAAGATGCAGGGCTACATATGGATGGGTGATGTACGAGAAACTTAATGGCTTGTTTGGTAGATACCTGGAGGAGAAAAGACTATATTGAAGATATAGGAAAGTTACAGAACTGACTAGAAAAATGTCTACTCCAGCAATTTAAATAGCAATGAAGTAAAAAAAAACCTTAGAACGTTGTGGACATCGAAAGAGCCACACCAGGTCCAGAAAAAGAGGTGATGGCTAACCATGTGCATGGCTAACTGTATGTTATCTGAGTGCCAAACTGGAACATTGTGGGTTCTGTCAGACTTTTCTTCAACCCGACAGACAAGGTCACAATTCTCCCATTGGTTGGTTAAAACTACCACACTTCTGTCTGAATAGCACAAACCCAAAATTTGGATTCAATAATGAAAAGTTTTCTCAGAGATTAAAGGCCTGTGCATTCCGCAAGAACCAAGAAATGTATCCTTTCTCACAGAGCTGTAAGATATGATACTAGCATGGTTTGGAAGTTCTCACAGTTTGTTCTTGACACATAAGCATGGCAGTTATTTTTACTGTTGTTGCCCCGGGCAGTTAGTTTTACTGTTGTAACCCCTGACAATCATTGTGCAATTGGTCAGAAATTTGTGTGCAGTAAATGGTTGACTTTGCCTTCCTTGGTGTACTTTAATTGAGTGTCTCGTGAAGTTTAGAATATCTTCAGCAGAAGAAGCACTATTGTTCTTGCCAACTTGAATGGGTAAACAAATTTCTTGTTTCTTTTGGAGTGTACACAGGCTTTACATATTCCACGAAGAGAAGGAGAAACTCGTGAATTAAATTCCTCATTGCTTATGTTGGGTAGAATACTAATCATGTACTTTGAGTTATGTAAGAACATGTATATAATATTATCTTCTGTTGTTCACCTAGGGGATCGTTTTTCTTCATTCTAGCTCAGCACGACAGCAAGCTTTCCTTCTTGTCACTTTTGCACTCAATTAAACAAAACCCAAGATCATGCTAAGCTATTACGTTTTGCTTTGAAACTTGTGGTCACCTTTTATATCATGGCCTGAGTCATTTTGTTCCCCTCATCTTTTCCTACTGCTGTCACTGTCTACAACCATGGCAACAGCCAAAGACTTTCCAGGGCCTACAACAGGTAAATATCCCAATGGATGATCATTGCAAGCCAGAATTAGTGTGTGTGATGCTGGTACTGGCTCTGGGTCAGGACACATCATGGCCTCACCCTGCATGAGCCAAATCATCAACATGCATGGATGCTCGCTCTGCTGACACTAGACACTTTCTCTCTATTCATACCACGGACTGCATAAGTTATAACACAACATGTTGGTATTTTGGTTTGCCTTTTTCATACTAAGTTATACCTCAGAGAGGACAAAGTGAACCTTTGTGTGCTGGTGTTGTTAAGTGTATCATTGAGAATACAAAAAATGGAAAGGAAATCCATAAATTATTTGTGGAGTTTGTTCATGTTATTAATTTTACAGAGATATTTCTGTTGACTATGTGTTAGTTTCTTTTAGTAGAAATCTACTTGATAACATTTATTGCTTAATCACATCTGATATGAGTGCTGTAGGTTCAAACTAAATGAGCAGTAAAATTAGTACAACAAAAGGGTTGTTTTCTCAATGCCACTCAACATCCAGATCAGCCAAAATATTGCAAGGTGATTTGCTGGTTTCTTTATGAGCGGCTAAACCAAAGTGACTGCGGTTTTTCCAAGAGATGCATAGAACCAAAAGTGGCTGGTGTCATGCCACTCCTGCTGTAGTAGCATATGTCGACTCTTTTGTGATCATCCGCGACTCTAGAATGAGATTTAGTGGCATATGCCAAATCAACAGCAGTGACTCACTGTTCTCAGATGGAATGCTGCTCATGTCAGATCGACGCCAAGAAATTCTCGGCGCCTCAGACTGTCACATTAGTACTGCTTGCTTGGTGCTTAATATACATTGTAAAGCAATTAGCCGAGCTTTATTGTCAATGGAGTGCTATGAAAAGTACTTGAGGAAATGTAATAGCACCATAATTTCCGTTGCTAAGTAACATCGTTCTGAAAGGCGGTATTTTAAGGAAATGCTTTTCAAATGTCTTTTAAATAACAAAATGAGTGAGCTATCTAATCAAGTTAACTGAAAAATTAAGCAGTATATTAATATCACTTTTACATTGTAATCCTTTCAATAATATGATAAATTAACAAAGGCATTTTCATACTGTTAGAACATCCTTAAAATATCAGTTAGAAGTTGCATGAAAACCTGATGTTAGCAGAGAAAAAAAATGTTAATATTTAAATTGAGGAGCAAAAATTCAATTCTTGGAGAATGCCATATTACTTTTGGACCTGAGATCAAGCAATACTAGAAGTCTGATCCATTCCAAAACCAGTTTTTATGTGTTTGGGATCAATGTCTTATTGGTGCACCCACTTATGTGAAGGTTTTTATCACCTGATCCAAACTCTCATCCTCAGATAAAAGGTGAGGATGTTTAAGAACACTCCAGGAGCTACTCAGACTCAAGGCACCTTAAACTAAAACCTGCAGGAGTGTTGCTTTTAACGATGAATCAAGTTTAACATCGCTTTGGACTGAGAGGGTGCCAATCAGGAAAGAAGCTCCTGCACCACAATTTTAATTACGCGCAAATGAAATCTACAGTGCCTTACGTAGACAAGTCAGAAGTCCTGAAGAGTAAAGTTTTATGGTTATAATTAATAGAAATTAGCTATTTGATGAGATGAGATGAGATAATGAGAACATTTAGAAGTTGAAGTAAGATTTACAGCCTAATAACACTGTCAAATGTGGTGACGTTAGTAGCATGGTGTTGGTCTGTTTTGAAGCCAGCCCTACAGGTCCATAATGTGGAACAAAGAGAGACAAATTATGTAACAATAATAAAAGAAATTACCAAAAAAAAGACCTCTATAACATTGTAAATAATAATCAAATTGTGATTTATGTTTGTATTCTGACCAAAGTTTCCTTGTTTACACACCAGAGTTCAGATGAAATTACACACCTGCTGAAAGAAACAAGTTACACAAAGAAATCTGCTTTTACCTGTGCCAATTTTTAAAAAATGATCACAAATTCAAACTTATTCATCCAATTTCTGTTTTTGAAAACATTGAGGTTGAATATTATACAAGACTAAATTATATATGACAAATTAACATAATATCATCCATGCAGACAGTGGGTGTAAATAAACATTGCATTAATTACAAAAAATCAAAAGTGCCTTTTTGTCGAACTGGTAACTGAGCCAGCAAAGTTGCCCCATCAGCTGTTTTGTGGCATTGGCACTCTTTAGTTTTCCATTGTGGCTTTCTGTGATGTATTACATGTCATTCTACTGCTTTTGTGGCCCTTTTCTTAATTTTGCCTTTCAAGTCTTGTTTTTTTTTTTTTTTTTTAGGTCAGAATAGAAATAAGAAAGGATTTATTGGTTACATGTTGACATTTACAGAGCATGTTTGGGTACATGTGGTTGCCTATTCCAGTTTGTATTTTGTAAGGAAGTGCCAAACAATAATTTTCTCAGTGATGAGAGCGAATGTGAACATGTTACATGACATTTGCTTATGCCATCACTGGTACGAATCATTATACCCATCAACATCTAACCAAACTCAGGTTACTTTGGAACGTGATCATTGTCTCAAAACCTGACGTTGTAGCTCATGAGTCCCTGTATTGTATTTAAAATGCATGACACACAACTTCATCCTTTCAAGTTTCGTATTTTGGGATGGTAAAAATTTTTTGTATTTACAGGGTTTGTTAATATAACCGTCATTTCCCAGGGTCACTTTGCAAAACTGAGCTTGAGCCATGGCTATTTATCAAATTGAGATAATGAGAACACAAGAGGTGCACCATAAAGACACAGGCGCTCAGTTTATAATAGGACAGACACCGGGGCATCATACTGAAGCTTGAAAAAGGCTGTGCTCGTTTTCTGCTCAGAAACCTAAATGCTCATTCTTTTCAGAAAAAATTTTTCAATAAACAAGAAGTATACAATGAAAACCTTCAACTCTGGCAATGTAAAAATATTTCTTCTTTATTGTAGCTTTTTATAGAGATATGTGGATGTATCTGAAATTATTTGCACAGTTCAGGAAGATTTGTTGATTGTTTAGTCACTAGTTTAATAGGCACACAGCAATTTTACAAACATTCTTCTTCAGTTGAGTTCTGGTTATTACATTTATGACTGCAATTTAAAGTTTAATTTGACTCTTCAACTCAGTGATCGTATATAGCCCAATGTCCACCCAATACAATAGTAGTAATGGCAAAAATATTCATAAAGTGAAGACTTGTATAGTAATTTGTTCAATGAGGATGAGGAGGCCAGGAAAAATGTTGTCTAGGAGCAGTAGCTTGTACACCCAACAATCTGGCACACAGTTGAGGGATTTCAAAAAGTGCTGTCGTGGAGAATTACCATTTGTGTCAGAAATTGTATTTCAAAGCACACAAAAAAAAAAAAATACCAGCATTCTGATTGTTGACATAACCTCATTGTTTCGCCAAGTCTCACGACTCCACACAAAGTAAGTTTATTTTATCCACAACAGTTTATCTGTGTCTTACCACTCTCCTTTAAGGCTCTCTGCAGTTAGCTTACCTTAAATAGCTGCCATTTGTCCATGCAAATTTAAATAAGCCTGGATTCATTGATTTTTTCCCTTTAACCCTCTGATGCATGAGTGACTGACTGGGTCTTTTTTGACCCGGGTTACAATCAATGTGTTTTTAATGCTACTTTTGCCATTTTGATTCAAAATAATGTTTTATATAATACTTTCTACTGTGTTTTATTTCACACAAGAATTATTTTATGTTTGAAATACTTTCATTCTTCACTGTTTAAAACTTTTTTAGAACAATTTGTGAGAATTTGCAGAACTTTTTTAAAACAAAATGACAAATGTCAATAATGGACAATGTCAACATTCATTATGTGTGTGTATGCGTGTGGGTGCGTGTGGGTGTGAAAGAGCACATTTCTTAAAACTAGCTAGCTAACCAAGCTAGCTATCATTACTATCTGTATTCTATCATTCTATGTGTATCAGGCATGTGAGTGTATGTATGTGTGTGCATTTATTCATCCATAAATATGAATAAATGCATATTTATGGATGCATCCATCCATCCATCCATCCATCTACCCATCGTCTTCTGCTTATCCGGGGTCGGGTTGTGGGGGCAGCAGCCTAAGTAAGGAGGTCCAGACTTCGCTCTCCCCAGCCACTTGTTCCAGCTCCTCCAGGGGAATCTCAGTCGTGAACAAGACCCCGAGATACTTGGGGCAGGACGTTCTCCCCGACCTGGAGAAAACACTCTATTTTTTTCCAGCTCATTTATTTATGCATTTATTTATATAGCTGTGATTTTTTATTTTATTTATTGAGATGATAAAAGAAAGAATCCTGAACACAATGATCAACAGGTTTTGCATGTCAATCAACACACTCTCTCTAGGTTTTTTCATCAAACGTGTCAGACACACACAGAGACACGCACACAAATAATACACATGCATAATTAAGTATAGGCAGTAATGTTAGCCAGTTGGTTAGATAACTAGAGTTGGCTAACTTTGAAGAAGGCTACTATGTTGATTTGTGACAATAACTATGTCACAGTACTCACGATTGATACGCACATATACATTTATAAGGTAAAAAATAAAGAAAATATTTATATGTAAGAGTTCTTGCTGTGTAAAATATTGTTATTCAGGGATAACACTTAGAACTCAGTGTGTATGGTTCACAAAAAAAATGTTTTCCTGACAGTTACAGTTAGTAAGAAACAAAGATTCCCATTAAATTACATGGGAAATGAATTTGGGTCACTTTTGACCCACTCTTGGAAGAATGGGGTAGTAATATAAAACATGACATTTCTTCAAATGAATAAAAGGTCAATTTAAAATTTTAACTGCATAATATCAGTAACATATTTTTTGAGGAAGACCTGAAATATGAAATGATAAAAAATTTTCATTACAAAGACATTGAAAATAGATAACCTCACCAGGTCAAAAAGGACCCACTTGCACATCAGAGGGTTAATTCCTATTGTTTCATAATTCTAAGGCAAAGTTGTTTCCATGCAGCGTACTGTTTTGATACAAAACCAAACATCCAGTCGACAAATTCCCAATTTAATATTTTATTTTTTTTACATCAAGAAAACTCTTTGAGGTTTCATAGAGAGTCATTGGGTCCAATTCCATTACGTTGCTCTCACAGAACCTTCCTATTATAGTGGACGTGACAAAAATGCCTTTTGGTTTCAGAAAACTATGCTCTAAAAAATGTCCAACTGTTTTCAAGACTTTTAAGTCTTTAAGAAATATTAAATTTCTTAAATATATTATAACCTCTTTAAAATTGACATTATTTTCAGCATTCATGCTGCAGCCAAGCAGTTTTCTAAATGTCAGAAACTCTTAAACAGTGACATCTTGCTATTGATTTTGTTCCCTCACGTCCATGCCGTCTCTCATTGTTTTCTTTCAGATCCTAATGCTTTAGGACAACGTGGACCTGACCACGCTTTAATCGGCGGTGTTGTTGCAGTCGTGGTCTTCATCACCTTGTGTTTGATAATAGTTCTTGGAAGATATCTGGCTAGACATAAAGGTAAAAGAGGTCACTTGCATTCTTTTTGTATTGAATAAAAAGATGCTGTGAGGTTTTCCACTGGTGGGTTTTTGATGTGTCTGCGTATATATTTACAGGAACATATCTAACACATGAGGCCAAAGGAGCAGAGGATGCCCCTGACGCTGACACGGCTATTATCAATGCTGAGGGAAACCATGTGCATGCAGAGGAAAAGAAGGAGTACTTCATTTAGACCTCTGGCTTCTCTCTCCTTCGTTTCAATGTTCAACAAGAGACATGCAATTTCAAGCTGCCTCAGTGTTACAACATGATCTGGGTTTACTCATTTATCTTTTTCCAGAAAATTCATGCTTGGTTTAACTTGACTTTAAAATAGCGTTCTCTTTTTGTAATCAATACAAACTAAAGGTTGGATTAGATTTTAGTTTTCTGGTGCCTAAACGAGACGTTTTTCTGCATTTCTTTCATTGACTGCATTAACAGGTTTCTCTACTCTCTTACATAACTGTCTGCAGAATTTTTAAACACAGAAGGGACAGAGGATGTGCTTGATTTTAAGACAGTCAAGGTTGAGTTTTTCAAAGTGTTTTACTGTGAGAACAGAATAGCTGAAACACATCGGTTTATGAAACATTTACACAATCTGACTTTTCTTTCTGATTTAAGCAGTTGTCTTGGATGTTTCCTGGATTTTATCCTACCATAGCCATAATGTACAACATAACATGACAGACACTTTGATATAACAAAACATACAAGCACAATCTATCCGATTGTCCCAAAAAGATACCATCTCCTTCTTATGAAGGTGTATACTCTTACACCTATTAGTTTTCAGTTGTCTTTTATCTAGTTATTTTATACTATGAAAGTTGGAATTTCAAAGCACAAAGTCTGAGGACTAAAAAAAAAAAAAAAAAAAAGAGGGAAAATACAAGAACTGTATCTTGTCTCAGGATTCAAAATGAGTCTAGATGGAGTAATGGAGTCTGACATGTAATAAAGATTTTGGTCATCATAATGGATCAGGAATATTAGTTTTTTTGGTTGGCTATTTAATGTAAAATCCAAACTGAATGAGTGAACTTTGTGGGGCTTTATTATTTATGTTGAATTTTATTGAACAACAACTATGCTTAATGTGTGGATATTGCTGTAAAATACTTTGCTAACGTGAATATTTGTGAACAATATTGTTGAATCTTGGGATCCCTGGCACATTACGTTTTGTATATTAGCATATACACTATTTAATGTATTCCACATTTCATGACTTTTTTCTATGTTTATCTAACCAGTTTGTTTTGCCACAAGCCATGTATATAGCTGTGAAACAGTATATGTTTCCTTACAGATTTTGTCTGTTTGTTTTATTTATTTTATTTTGGCAAATGTTTCAGATCAGACAAATTTTAAACTTTGACAAAGAAAACTTCAAAGATGACAAAATATTGTTTTTAGAAGCTATCCAAACCAACCTGGCATTAATATATATATATTTTAAAAATACGCTATATTATTAGACCAAAATGCATTTTAATTCAATTTTACTTGCCACACTCTGGTCTGATTACTTTCAGAGCCATAGAATTGATAAATAACTTCAATAACCTGTCTGACAACATGAGGTAGGCTAAAATGTGCCACAAAACCACACATTAGGACTCAGTCCACATAAATTCAAAATCATTTACATCTATCAATCTGAAAAGGGTAGCAAAGTAGTTCTTGAGGCTTTGTTACTCTGACAAACCACAGCGAAAGCCTTTATCTTTCACTGGGAGAAAGGAAGAAAATGTGGAACAGTGGTGAACCCATCCAGGAGTGGTCAGCCAAACAAAATTACTCGAAGACCACATCTACAACTAATCCAGGAAGTCACAGAAGAACATCGAAAGTACTGCAGGCCGCACTTAGTTAAGATTGGTCTTCATGATTCAGCAATAATAGGATCAAAAAGGCAGAAATAGTTATCGAATAGTAATGGGATCAAAAGATAGAAATCCATTCTGACAAAAAGAAAAAGAATGACACAAAGACAAATACCAATTTCATATTTGCCAAAAACTATCTTGGTTATCATGGAATCCTTTGGGAAAATCTTTAGTGGACTACAAAAAGTGGAGACCTACCGCATTGTGATGGACTCTGGCTGCTTCCAGAGAAGGATGACTCACTCTATGAAACCATGAAGCCAACTCTCTAGCATGGCAGAAAATCCTCAAGGAGACTAATCAGACATCACTTTGTTCCTATAAAAATCTCTTTTGGAGTGGCCTAGTCAAAGTCTGGACTTAAATCGAAATGCAGTTACGCTGAGTTTGTATTTACTCAGCTTATCTTTAAAAGGCTCTTCGATGATCTGAAACATTCCAGTGTGTCAACAAAGCAAAAATAGAGAAGATCTGAAAAGGGGAAAATACTTTTTCACAGCACACCAGATGTTTTCAGAAAAGGGAAAAGGAATGCATTCCATTCCTGTCATGCTGATGAGAGTTTTCACACTTTTGAAGGTTTCTTCAAACAGGGATTCTAATGAATTACTTACAATTGAAAAAAAAAGATGACTATATGTATTTATTATTATGACTGATTCAGATTTATTATATGATACTATATTAATTAGTATTATTGTTGTTAACACTGAAGTAGTTGTCTGACATTACCTTTTCCATTTTATAATTCTGTAATTTGTCATAAAGAACAGTACAAGGATCACCATTATGGCCTTTGAGTTTGCTGCAAACAGTACATGACATGACATGACATGTTGAGGACCTGGTGAATCAAACATCCTCAAATTGTATATAATCATTGTATCAACGAAATCGAACCACATTCCCAATGACCATACATGTTATTATATTGGTTCCGTATGATGCTATAAATAGTCATTTTGTACAAAGATTGAATTGCTGTAATTACTTTGCTTTTTATGGAGGGTGTCTGAGGTCTGCTTTATCTCTCAGTACTGAATATTCATTTTTCAACTATGCCACTGTAAAAAAATAAAAATAAAGAAAAAAAAAGAGGGACAAAGTGCGAATTAAAAACATGAACAACATGAAAATTGTAATTTTGTTGTGACTAGATTTGTTGTGTGAAAAGAAAACTCAAGATCAAAGATTTTTACTTGGGAATTACAGAGCTTTTACCTGCAGTCATAATATCAGTCTTTACATCTTCAGTGAGTGAAAGTGGCATGTTTTGATTGACACTTTAGCTTAGGCTAAAGCTGCACTGCAATTGCTATACAATGGAACACTAAATCTTGCTCAGTCTGCCGTGTAACATATGTATGCAATGTGTCTAATTATAGAAAGATTGCTCAAATCTCCCACTTCCAATCATCTAATGAGTATTAGAAAAATAAAAATCGACATGATTTTCTTCCCGTTTCATGGGGTTCAATATTATTAGAGATGTCAGCAGGCTGCCTTTCAAGTAGTTTTGGATTTTATTTGCTTTGACAGCTTTGACAAAGTAGAGAAAGCACTGAACCTTATGTTCAGTTAAAACTGAACATAAGGTGCTTGCTTGAAGCTTTGAGTTATGAACTTTTGGGATCTGTACCTTTGGACCCAAATAGAATTTTCCTTGATGATATATTGGACTTGATTAAATAATAATCAAATCATGTTAAGTATTCATGACACAAACAACTGAAGTGTTATTTAGGAGTTTAATACTATAAAAACAAATTCCCATATGTCACATATAACTGCAAAACACAATGTGTTTCTTGGGTATATTATGTGATAGACCAGAACAATCTAGTGCATAGTTGTGAAGGGAAAGGAAAACGATACATATTCACACTTTTCAGCTGTTTAGAAAACAACTGAAAAGTGTGGCATGCATTTGTATTCAGCCCCCTTTACTCTGACACCCCTAATTCTCTTGTGTAGTATGACGTATACTGCTGCCTTTGTGAAAAAGGGCTTAATCTCAATGGTGACCTCAAGCTGTGGGAATGTTTTTAGAGTTGATGGGAAAATGTACAAAGTTAATCCAGCCATCAGAGCGACTCTCACCATTAAGACATTAATTTTTTTTTAAAGGCCTTATAAACCTTTTGTAAGGTTTATGCCTTGCCTTTGTCAAGGTCCTTGAACTTTCTCTCTTTCTTTTTTTTTTTTGATTACTTTTTGGGCTTTATTGATTACAAGGGGGAAAAGACTCTGTATGTGTTTCACTTTTTTTATTTTGTAACCTCAATTTTAACAATGTTGTGTTTTTTGTGAATAGGTTCAGGGTCTTATTTTAGTGTTTGTGTTCTGATTTTTATTTAGACGACTCTTCTGTATCCTGTTTAGTTCCACTGTGTGTTCAGTCTGTGTTCATTACTCACTTTCTTTCAACACCCATGCTGACATGCACCGTGTTAATTAACTCACCCGTTTGACATTCCAGCAATTACTCCTCTCTGGTATTTAAGCAAATGTTCTTTTTTTTCCATTCCTTGCTTGATTCTATGTTGTATTTACATCATTTCTGGTTCATCTGAGTTTTTTTCCTCCGTATTTTTTTCTCTGAACTTTTATTTATTAGGTTTTGAAAATATATATTATGAGATTGAACTGAACAAATTGTTCATGTGTCCCCCCAACAACAATCCTAATTTGAGAATTTTGTGTTGGTCTATCACATAAACCGCTACCTCCAACAAAAAAAAATACCTTAAAATGTGTGGCTGTAAGATGTGAAAAAGCTCAAGAGTATGAATGTATTTTCAGGGCACTCAAGGACTTTTGGTATCCATAAATGTTCTCACAAGCAAAATACACATTTCGTATTATTTTTTTAACAATTAAAATTCTAAAAATAAGTGAACAACTATTTGTTTTATGCACAGCACATCAGCAAATATGTATGTGAATAAAGTGTAATGATCTGTGTAAGCAGTCTAAGAAATCTGGGTGATCAGAGGTAAATTGAAAGCTGATTACTGAACCTTAAAAACTGATCTGAAAGCCAATTGGATACTGGCTGCAAGACATACCAATAAAGCAAGAATGAAATAATACACCTTTTATGGTCTATTGTCACTGCTTCAGTGACACAAATTGCCATTTTGAAATTTGGGGATTAATTTGGAAGTGTTGTGCAGATTACAGGGGTCACATTAAACATCGCAACATCCTTGCAGGGAAATCATCCTTGCAGGACACAAGACGCAAGTCATAATGTTCCTCCATTCTTCAGCTCCCATTGACCTTGAGCATAATGTTGCTTCCCAATAGACTAATGTCGCCATTATCAACAGACTGTCCGGCCAACCATCTGCCTGCTTCACGCAGCACAGCTCCCCCTCTCCTCTCATAGACACCGCTCCCAGTGCACACTTCATAATCATTACCAGCAAAAGCCCAGCCAGTTCAAATAAACATCAGCTCCCTCTATTGCACTCCTTCTCATTATTAAAAGCTCAGTGCTTCGTTAAGCTATGTAAATTGTGTTAGACTGTCTTGAGTAATGCCTTGCAGAAAATAATGCTTAAAATCCATCATAATTTAGTAATTGGATATTGAGACAGGGGAACATTTCTGTGCAATCACAAATAGTGAGCTGGCAAATGGATTTTCTCCTTACCCTTGAAATTTGAGAACCGTACCCTGGGCTATGTGGGAATCACAGCATGACCTCTAAGGAGGCCTTGTAAGTCTGACAAAAGTGAAGAAACTGATCCCCACTGTACCCTGTGGGCACAGTCCACAAAAGTCATCCTGCTCACAATAAGCTCTTATCTTATCATTGCAGAACAGAAGAGTCAAACAAAAAACCTCTTTGGGGAAAAATTTGTATCTTAAAAAGAAACATTAACATTTGCACACATTATGTATGAAATACTTTTTTGATTTTGAAATTACATGAATAACATGAGTTCCTGTTTTTAAATCCTCTTTTAGCATGCAGTGTAATTTAATCCTCTTAAGCATTTAGTCACATTTAGTCTGTCGAGTCCAAGCATGGGAGGTTACTCTTTATCCTTCAGTTTTATTCTAGATTGGTAAAAATCCAGAAAAACTGTTTGTGTCCGGAATTTTAAAGATGAATTGGAAGCTACATGCTTAACAGATGGATATGGTGAAGAAGCAGTTTCATCTGGACCCAACTTTAATTAATTTTCAATATGAATGAGTTTAGGATAAACTCATTCATATTGAATGAGTTTCTATCACCCGAAACACACATCTACATACCTGACAAAAAATGTACATTACATGTTTATATATGTAACTTTATCGGAACAATTTTGGAACTATTTTTTCTGTAGAAAAACTTTTAGGAATTTTTCAAACTGCAAATGTGTCACTAAATATAGTGTCAGTGGCCCAACAATGCTCTTTTAGTGACATTGTAGATCACTAAAAAAGGCAAAATTCCAATTCTGCTGATAATTTTTGTGAAATTATTGTCAGTTACATAAACATGGCATGACAGACTGCACAAATATTTTTGATATCTACATTTGAGGAAAGCACAAACTCTTTTAGTATATGTCGGTGCTTTTTTCTGGAATTTTGGGCAATTTTATCAGTGAGGATATTACTATGACCTTCAGCCAACAGAAACCTAAAATGAGATTTTTCAGCAAATTAGAAAATGATGTAAGAATTAGTTCAAAACGGAGATGTTATGTTCTACACAGCTATGGCAATGCTTGCTTTCTTGATAGTTGTCAGTTCAAAGTCTTCTTTTCTTCTCATAGTTCATCATTTGGAAAACAAAGTCCCATAGTTTGGAGGAAGGCTGGAGTGGCTCAAAATCCAAGTTGCTTTAGGTTTGATGACGAGGCAGCACTGTCGCCTGCTTTTATTTATCCCAATATTTTGGGATACATTAGGATTAAATCCATCTTTCCTTACCTTACAAAATCCTTCCCAAGATGATTTCAACACAGGATTAAAGGATATTTTCTAGAGATTTCTCTGTTATTGATCATATTTTCCTGAGACTTTGTAGATCCTTCAAAGCTCTAGTGATGTGCTCTACAAGCATGGTGTTAAATGATCTGGAACAAAGAACCCAAACTTATAAATCCCAGAGGGTGCATTACCATGCTGTTAGTTTGGATGAATGTGTACAGTCAGAAACGATTCCTTGATTTGCTGCATGAGGGTCTCCTTTTTGTGTGGTAGAGGCTTCCCTGCTCGAATGAGGCCACACGCAGGCCCATGGATTGATGACAGAAACGGGGCTAAGCATGTATTTTATACTCATTCATCTAAACTGACTCTCACTCTCTGTGGTTCATCTTTAAATAGCCTGCTCAGGGATGGTATGTCTGCCGTTTGATTTATTCTGCACCGTACCTTCAGACCTAATTAAAACCAACTGTCTGCAATTGTTAGGGTAAATTTAAAATGACATAGACAAAATAGCACAAAAAGGGTTGCTCTATGTGGAGGTGGTGGAGGGACTGAGGGGTTCTCTATGTGTAGCATCAAGCTATGCAATAAACAACTTGCCATCTGTTGGAATCTGAGCGATAGAAGTTGCTTCAAGTAACTCGCTGGGGTCTTCATAAAGTTGGAATGTTATTGAATAATTGTTGAATAACTGTTGAAATATGTGTATACTGAATTGTCATATTTTGTCATTCAATCAACTTTGCTGATAATTTTTTACATCTCTTTGTGCATAAACAAATAAATATCAATTAAAAATCAGCAAAAAGACATCAGGACTTTGAACAGACTATCCAAATTTACATTGACCAAAACGTTTCTTTCATTTTCTGAAGCAATATTCTTGAAGATTTTTGAACAATAGATTAATTATGCAAAGATGGTAGAATATAATTCAAGCATTGATTTGGTATTTTTATTATGATTTCTGGTTGTCAGTGATAGCAATGACTTCTGTCAGTGATAATTTAGAGAGTTGTGTCATCTGCTGGTGTAAGTGTTATATAAAGTCCTAAACCAGTGAAGTAGTATATCAGAACATTTCATAGCTCTTCATGATTCCCTTGACTGATAAGCCTTGTGGAGATTCAAACTAAAATATCCAGTAGAATTTGGCACCTTTCCACACTGCTAAAGATTCGGGTAACTGTTTTATTGACCATTGTACCACTTTGCTTGATTGGCCATAAAACTGGCCTCACCTAAACCACTCAGAAAACCTTTGGAGTCTTGTCAAGAGGACAAACAGAGACACCAGGCCCAGCTATGCGGATGTGATGAAGGCCATCTGGCCTCCTTTAACACATCAGAGTAACAGGCTGGTCGCCTTCTAGGTTTAAATCCAAACCAAGCATTTCAGTGTTGTGTTTGCTTCTTCTCCAGGTGCATGAGTGGGTTTTTCTCTTGATACGTTCCCTCCTTTCTCTATCTTAGAACAAGCATATTAGGAAAAAACTGCCCACTCTAAGTTACCCTCAGGTGAGAGAGTGTTTGTGCATGCATGTCAGTCCTGTGTCTCTGTGTTGGATTTATGACAGACTGAAGACTAGGCTAGTTTATCCTCTCTGGACAACCGAAGGTAGGAAGCAAAGCTGATCCTGAACGGACAGACAGACGATAGGATGCATGGACGTCTATCTACATTTTCTCTGCTATGTTCCACTGTAGGTGTTTTCCAGACAAACTGGCAGCTCTTACTGCCAACAGAATATTAATATGTAAACAGCATGTTGAAAAGGTTCTGACAAACTGCTGTGCCTGCAGGATGCCAGCTGTCTAGATGTGGGTGGGAATCAGGTGGTGCCATTAGCTTCATTATCATAGTATTATCATAGGACGACATGAAATTTAATCTTTGTGATTCAACATTTGGTTCTTCATCCACTAAAAAAAAATCCTAATCATGTTGTTCAAAGATAATCATAAAAAGTTAAGCACATGCAGTTAAAACTGAATAGTCAAAACTTATTCAGAAAGCATCTGATCCTTTTTTCTTGACTGTAATGAGCTGCTGAGCTGCTCACCTCAGCTGACTCTTTTGTATTTTCAGCTGTAGGTTTGTGGTGCAGTTTGTACAATTTTGGAAAATATACCGGAATAATTCAATAGTAGAGCTGCAATATGTTATTATTTTTAATATTAATATTTTATGGTGCTGTTCGAAAAATAGTTATCAGGGCTTGTCCTTAAAATGTTAAGATGTCTCACTGATCCAGGAAGGACCCAGAGGTTTCTAAAGGGACTTTAGATGTATCAAGGCACTAAAGGATCTTCCAAAATAAGCTGGAGTGTGGCTGAAGGGAGAAGGACTTCTGGGTTCCACAATCAAAACCCTCATATCAGATATGAGGAAGACACAAGATGGATGGAAGCATGGGGTGCAAAGTGGTGTGTAAGTCAGCACGGCTGCCTCTCAGCAAGGACTCTTTCAAATTTCCTTTTTGATGTTTAGTCTGCATATTTTTCCTGGGTGCTCTGCGTTTTCTACACATACCAATTTCATCTTCAACCAGAAATTCTAAACTGACTTTTTTCTGCCTTGAGACAACATGTGTTGTGAGTTGGTGCAGTGTAAATAAATAGAACTGACCTAAGTAGGATATAAGCATGAATGGTAATCACACCTTTCTCTGCAACAATCCTATATGGAATGGGGAACTTACCACAGTGCATTGAGATAGAGAATCCAGAGAAACTGGGTAGAGAAAATCCTGTAAATCTTAAAATCAAAAATGTTTAAAATGAGAAACAAAGACACATCACAAATATCTATAATACCTGACGACAGTAGACAGAATTGATTTGTAGCACTGTAGTGGATAATAACTGCTTCAGGCAATCAAAAAGCAAAAAATGGCCAGTGGGATGTGTAGTTTACATTTTTTTCAGAAGAGAAACCATGGCTATGTGCTTTATAATGCCAGTCAGTGGAACAGTGGAACAGTGGAGTTCTGGGACTACTCAAGTCAGAGAGCTTGTTAAAAAAAACTGATTAAAGAGAAGTGAGACAAGAGAAAATGTTTAATTTAACCATATTTGGTATTCATAGGGTGACAAACCATACAAGGGTTCACCTTGAGGGGTCATCAGGAGGGAAGGTCCAGAATTCCAAAGAGAGACCAAGTAAAGTTTTAACACAGCACTTGGAAATACAATTGATTGCATTGTTAATTGCTTTGATCATCAAGTTTATTTTGGCTGAATTGAAAATGGTAATTCAACACATAGAGAATTGACAGACTGTTTTTCTTTTAGGAGTTCTGGAGCGCAGCCCCTGTGACATAGTAATGGATTTACAACTATAATCAATGTAGAACTTCAAGCACTGAATACAAATGAATACATTCCTTCATTCTTTCAGTGTACTCCATCATTACAGTCAAATCAAATGTACTTCTGGTGTACAGGCTTTATACTGATATAGCGCTTTATGCCTGTACACCATATGGGTAATACACTGTGTTCATTTCCCATGACACATCACATTTTGCATGTATATACCTTTTGGAGGCTTTGCTATTTAATGGTCTATTTCCATTTGAAGTTGTGCTGTTATTTCAATGTACATCAAGTATGTCTGTGTATGTTCAGTCTGGGAGAGCCCAAAACCAACACGAACTGCTACTTCAACCATATAGAACTTCAGTCTCAAAATTATTATTATGAGACTGCTATTTTATGAACCTTTATCTTTAAATTGAGAGCATATTGACACAGAAGTTGTTGATTATATTCTTGGAAATGGATTTAAGAGGTGCTGCACTACTAATGATCTTCCTGTGTGAAGCACCCTGAGAACAAAACATGTGAAGCATTTTTTTTTTATGGAGGGTAGACACGTCATAGAAAAAGAACAGAGGTGTAGTAAATAAAGGTAGTGGATAAAGAAAATAAGATTTTTTTATTTTATTTTGTAAAAATAGATAGTTATACCTAGGCTGAAGATGCTTTACATGCACTGTTCTCTCTCATACTGGAAAATCTTTGGTGTTGCACCACCTCCAAAATAAATATTTTTTTATAAAACTGCCCAATGCAAACATGACAGCTAAAAGATTTTAGAAACAGCTTTCACATAATCCTCCATGACATTTCTTTTACTTTTTGAATCATTTTAGGATGGCAGAAACCCAGTTTTGTCTGAACTCTTTTGGATGCTATAAACTTAAGCCCCCATGTCCAACTAATGGGGAACATTGGGGCTACAGCAAACATTTTACCTGTCTAAAAAGTTTTATTTGAACTTGTAGCACTGTAAATCCTGAAATATTCAGTAAGCATTTCACAAATATTGTTGGATGGTATCAATCTCAATATTTGATATTAACTGATGCATTACATTTAAATTCTTGATTTCTATTAAGTGAACCTTCAAACATACTTTACATTCAATTTATGCTTGCTATTCACAATCAAGCTCTTATTTCAGATAAAAATATTACCATGTCACTGAACAATGAAATACAGTGAAGCGAATAGGTGGGGGGAAATAAACGGCACTGTTGCCCTAACCTTCACCTCCTGCACCACCGTCTCGCTGCAGTTTTGTGATAATGATGCTGAAGTCACAGAGGCCCATGAAAACTGAAATGCCCCATAAATTCCCACAACCGCAGAGCCTTGATCTACTGAACCATCTCATTGACATGGAGCTTAAATTCACATTGTCTAGGTAAGAAGGATAATCATCCCACTCCAATATCCTGCCATATGTGGAGCAGTACTGCGATCATATAGCTTGTTAAATAAAGGTAACTGAAACTTTTGACTCACAGTAGAATAGCAGTTACATTCCTATTGCTGAATTTGGAGAAAAAAAAATCTAATTATCTGAACATATAAATGCTTTCTATAAATAAATAAATTGCTCCTGTGAGCAAAGGACATATAGAATAGGTTACTTAATGACCCAGATGACCTCTGCAATAAAACACCACAGAAAATGTTCTTTAATTTAAACACTAAAAAGGTGTTTATCTCAAAGCCAATTTTAACTTAACTGAAGGCAGTTGTCCCAGAGCTATTACTGTTGAATATACAGGATAGTCATTACCTTTCATGTATCATTTATTTATTTTTGATTAAAGAAAATGTGAGAGCTCCTTAAATTAACCGATAGAGGTCTAAATGTCAATTTGTCTGCTTAACAAACCAAGCTTGATTTTCTGAGTCTTTGTTTAGGAAAAGTTTGGATGGAAGCTTTAGGCTATAAACAGGCAGGTTTTGCTGCATTTTCTGGGCAAAATAAAGAAGAGGACTGGCCAATCTTAATAAGCCACAAAAAGATGTCCTGAGATGCCCAGTGTTTGGAGGGTAATGTTTATTTAGTGAAAACTGTTATCTAAAATTGAGTGAGGAAAGAAAAGAACATAAAATGGGTAGTGATGGGTTTGGTATCTTGTAGAAGAAAACAGTAAATAAATGCAGGGGTAGTCTGAATTCAAACTAGCAGGTTTACTTACTGTGCAATACTACCAAATCTTCACAATCACTGATAAAGCCTACTGTGAAAAATTTTGTTTAATATCATATTAATATTTAGTTATTTCTTTTTGTTGTTAGAAATATTTGATCCTATTTCCCCTGGTCATTCAGGATAAAATGAAGTGCTTGGATAGTATTTTTTTTTTTAATTAAATGAAAATAATCATTTAAAAACAGCATTTTAGATATGCTTGTGTGATATTTGTTTGATTTTACAATTTGTTGGATGATCTGAATTATTTAGGTGTGACCAAAACAAATTGAAGAACACCACACCAGAATACTGAAACCACAAGGAATCATGGCCTCAGACTCAGAGGAGTTGGATTTCATCTCACCTGTCTCTCATTTGCTGTGAACTTTTTCACATCAAACTGAAGATCAACATACAACCACATCATCTGCAAAAAGCAAAGATGAAACCCTGATGTTCCCCAAACAAACATCTTGTTCATGACGATGCTTTAAGATCTAGTCGATGAAAAACCAGATTTGACAACACAGGGCAACCCGAGCAGGGACAAAATCACACCAGAACAAAATTTGCCTCGATGCCAAGAATGCAGACAACAAGACCAGACAGCTTGACTCAACAAAATACCTTGAGTCAAGTGGTAATCATAAATTCAATATTCAAGTATAGGTTACTTAATTTAGATATCTGTCTGAAAAGGGCTAACCAGCACAAATATTTCAGATTAAATAACTGGATTGTTAGCCATAAATGAAACGTATAACTTTGATTTGGATTAACATACTATACAAAACAAACGTTTAATAACCACATGGATACAGTTACAAGTGATTGATTTTATATAATCCAAGTTCTCAGAATTCAATGTTTGCATTTCCATTATCTATTAGTGCCATCTGCTGGACACTTTTAGTTTGCAAATTGAAACTTTGCATGCATGTAAAGATGTTAGTAACTGTGAACAACAATTTAATTTAACAGGACTTTTTAAAGTCATCTGGCATTTAGTAGTCAATCTGAAAAGGAAGTGCTAAAACACACTTTCAGTGAGCAGGTAAAAATCTGGGTAATGGTGCCTCTACTTTGAACCAATTGTACTAAAAATTATCTTTTAGAAGTTTAAACAAATTAACATTGTAAACTGAATTTTGTAAATTGTTCAGCAAATATCTATAAAGACATTTTATACAGAAGTACAAAGAGATTTTGCTGAATGCAGTTTGTTTAAAAATGGAAATCATACATGATTTAGAAAATAGAAATTGATATTAAGAACATACTGGGAATCTGCCAGTGATCCATCATTTATTTTTATCTGTTTTCTTTCGTTTTGCCAATTTTTGAAACAATCTCTAAAATTTCAGTGATTATTTCTGTATTTTATCATTGGCGCTGCTTTAATAAAACAAAACAAATTTTTAAAAAAATTATTAAATTATTTTACTTTAATCACAACCTGTGCATAGATTTGGACTACTACCTGCCTTCAATGCCAAAATAAATCTGAAAGACATCACAGCAGCCCTTCTCATTTAGGAACTGGTAGAGCTGGCCAAGGTCCATATGATTGCCTCTATTCCCATGAGGGTCAAACATGGCCTCCTCAAAGCCTGTGAATTTGCGCAGGGAGTCGAAACTCTCGACAGTGTTGCTGTCATCGCCTTGGCGATTAAGGGTGATATCCTCTCTGTGTCGAATCATGATCTTCTTCCATGTCAGAACCTTCACTCTGAAATAAAAAGGGTATTTTTAACAATGGCAATCTTTTTTCTGTTACAAAATTCTCAAAAAGTAGGTGTAATGAAAAAAGCACCTGGACCAAAATTCCTCACAGGCAGATTGAGGGCCTTCAACACACACAATGCCAGGCTTTCCAGGCATGCTGAATCCTGAGAGGCCCAACTCTTTTGACCACACCAAAATGTTCTTCCTCTTTGACTTGTTGTAGATATGATGACTGTAGATCCACAGTCGACTGAAAACTTCATGTGTAGTTTGAGAAGCAGACTCCAACTTAGGAGCCGGTGCTGTGGATAAGCTCTTCTTAATGAAATGTTCCAGGTTTTCTTTCACCCAGTCCACTGCAGCAAGCACACATAAGTCTCCCAGGCAGTTTTTCAAAAGGTATTTATTGAGATCTGTCTGGATTTCTGTCTGCTGGGCCCTGCTAAGAGCTGAACACCTAGACCATCAATAAAACATTTGATCAGTTAATACATACATTTTGGAAAACAGATAAAAACACACAGAGTGCTAGTGTGAAGTAAAGGGATAATTCATTGCAGGATCCTAGTTCTAAAAATATTTAAAGATTCTATAGTTTTTTCAATATTTCTTTGCAGAAATACAGTCTATCATGCAGTTTCTCTTTATTGTGATAAGAATAGTGATTTATTCTGAAAACGCTTTATTGTGGAACTGAAAATATTTGCTAATCCCTTAAAACGACAATATGGCTAGAATTGTTAAATTATTTTAAACATGTTTTCCACTTTTGGCTTCATGAGAATTAATTAGTTAGAAGTAGACTCTTTACCATGACCTGTTTGAGGCGTTCTTTGGTTTTTACGAGGCTGCATGTATGTTGTTCTAAGGTTAAGTATTTGGTCGTTTTTCCAAAACCTTTAACATTTATTTTAATAACCAGCACCTAAAAGACATGCCTACCTTACTGTTACTTCAGGTAAAACACTGGGGTATTCAGACGGATAGGCACAGGTCAGAATAAACTCCGCCTAAGAACAAATTAAGATAGAACAGAATAAATAATAAACCTTTATAAATTAACAACTTTTAGATTATCATTACAAACGCATTACCTCATTCATAACTGAAGAGTCCAGTCTCTGTTTGATGAAAAACTGGGGTCTGGAGGGAGGAGGCTTTTCCCCACAAGCCGAGTTTTCCACGTAGCCCCTGAGTTCAGCCAGAGCCAGCTGGTCGGTGAGCTCCAGCTCGTCCTGACCGGGAAACATGCTGGTCAGCAGCTCTACCTCAGCGAGTTGAGACTCGGCCCACTCCATGTAAGACATGCTTTAAAAACAAACTGTGACGTCGACCTACATTTATATGAACCGGACCTCAAAATCCCAAATAATGTTCTAGTTAACTCCCGGAGAATTCAACTCGAACTTTTACAAACGGCACACACAGGAAGTCGTCGGCCATTACTAACGGTCCGTCAGCGCTTCCGCCATATTGTGAGTCGCTTATTGGTTCCTTTTGGAAAGCAGACGCGCATTTGCTTCTTTCCCAAAAGGAACAAACACATTAGTTTACGTTAATCTGATTTGAGTAAGAATTTATTTAACAAAAAGATATGCTCATGTTGTAGTAGGATGTTGATCGAGGAGACAAACATTTAAATAGTTCTATTTGCGTGCTTAGCCTACCTACGACAATCTATTCGCTTAATTTGACTTAGTTCCAAGGTAATATTTACTCATATTTTAAACCATACTGTGTGCGTATGTATGCGATGCCACTCACAATATGGGGGGCGCCATTCACGTATGATCCCGGAAGTTCATGTGGTGGTTCATGTGGATTCCGTCACATTTTTGTTCCCCTCCTGGCCGCATGTGTGTTATCTGGTGTTTTTGAATCAAATCGGTCTGATCCAAAGTTATATGTATTTTGTATGCATCTTATCGTTCCTGCTTTTATTATCGAAAATAAGTTAATGATGTCCGAACTTAGGAGCCCAGCGGAACAAAGAAGACGAAACTGAAAACGGTAAAGGCTTTAGCCTCTGTTTGCAACAGTAAGTTGACTTTAAGAGTTTATTGTCACGTTTGTTCTCTTGAAATGTTACAGTGTTGTGTGACTCGTTGGGACGTTGTTAAGTAAACGTTGTCTCTTTGACATTCAGCAATAAATTAATTGGCTTTGGTAAAGAATGGGAAAGAAGAGGGTCAAAGACAGGAGCGTCAGAGAGGATGAAGACGTTGAGTTCACAGGTACATTTTGAAGTCCGATGACTTGCATGTTTTTTAATAACCTTCTGAAAAATATAAAAATGCTGTTTTTTATTGCATAGGTCCATCCTGCAGACATATCAGAAAAGGCACTGACAAAACTCTCATAAAGAAACTATCTGATGTTTCTGATTGGACGAGATGTCAAGAATGCAAGCATGACGACAACAAAGAAAATATCAGTACGACCAAGTCAGAGGAATCTGAAGAGGAAATAGTTCCATTATGGATGTGCCTAAAATGTGGACATAGGGTGCGTTTATAATAGGTCTTTATTGATTTTTCTTTTCAGTGTATGGATCTTTTTAGATGACTATTTTCTTGTTTCTTACTAGGGATGTGGGAGAGATTCTGAGAGCCAGCATGCCATCAAGCATTATGAAACTCCACGCTCTGATCCACATTGCCTGGTGGTCGGTTTGGACAACTGGAGTGTGTGGTGAGCATGTTTTTTAAATGTGATGAATGGGGACGAATATAATGTGTTAAAACCACCGGTCTTTTGTTATATTTTCTTTTCTTCAAGGTGTTACATATGTGATGACGAGGTCCAGTACTCGGGTACAGGGCAACTTGCACAGCTGCTGAACATCCTGAAAAAACAGATTTCTACAGACCCCATGAAGAGACCTCAGAAAAGTAGGTTGTAGTGAGTAACTGGGGTATTCAGACGGTTAGGCACATATGGGATATGGGATTAAATGTTTTTATTGTTATTATTGCTTTAGTAGATTTAATGTTTAAAGGACTTACTATAAAAATAACTTTATTCCCCACCTGAAGATTTTCTTTTAGTTTTAATGAAGATCAGCTTAGTGTGTAACAGCTTTTTTTTTCACATTTAAAAGTCAAATGAATGAAACTATTTGTTCATAAACCTGCACAAAGATTCTTGCTCTGCAGCAGAAAACCAGAATTTCTCTCCTTGTGACATAATAAAACCGACTGGCCTTGTGTAGGTTACAAAGGTTACAAGGTTACAAAGGTTACAAAGACTACATCTTCACTACATTGCTTTTTGTTAAACTCATCCATCTCTTCTATAGGGATGCTTCAAAATTCTTATTGAGACAAAGCACTTGTTCACAGAGAGAAGGACAGGAAAAATCAAAAATTTTCAGCCCAATGAAATAAATGACATGCACTTTGTATTTCAAAATTGTTTTCCCTATTTAGGAGTGAAAGAGGATGTGGATCTGATGGAAATTAAGCCAGAGACAGAAGCTGTAAACACAGAGAAAAGTGAGGACAATGAGAACAACGATGGCAGCAATAGGCGGAAGAAAAACATCAAAAAGGAGAATGCTATAAAACCCCAAAACCACAACACACCCAAAGAAAGCTGTAGTGTTCCAGTGAAAGGGCTGAGCAATCTTGGGAACACGTGTTTCTTTAACGCAGTCTTGCAGGTACGGTTGTGCCATTAGCATATTTTAGTCTAGAGAGTAGTCAGAGTTAATCATTTTTATCACTCTCCATTTGCAGAATCTTTCTCAAACTCAACTCTTGAGACAAATTCTCAACAAAGTAACAGAAGAAAAAATGAGCCTCGACATTAAACCCGATGCCTCCTTGAATCTGGTATGTTTTCACTGTGCATAGCCACTTACTCACCCAGATTTTAGACCGTCATTAATAAAGTACATTTATTCACTCTGAGTGCAGGAGCCCATACTAGTGCAGTTAGACCAGCCTGGGTCACTCACATTGGCTATGTGTAAGCTACTCAATGAGATCCAGGAATCCAAAAGGGGTGTGGTAACGCCGCGTGAGTTGTTCACACAAGTTTGTAAAAAGTAAGTGTAATTATTATTCAAGTTGGAAGTGCTGAACTTTGCTTTTGGTTCTGTCCTTGGATGTTCATCATTTCTTCTAATCTCTGCAGGGCTGCCAGGTTTAAAGGATTTCAGCAGCAAGACAGCCAGGAGCTTCTCCGCTACCTGCTGGATGGGATGAGAGCTGAGGAACTTAAAGTATGCATGTTTTTAAGGGATTTCCCTTTATATCACACCAGAGGTTTTCTCTTTTTTTCCGACCACACCAGACACAGTCAATATTAGTCCAATAAAAATGGATAAATGCTTATGATTTTGTTCATAATTTATGTCTAAACTTGGTTGTGCAGAGAGTTAGCATGGGAATAACAGAGAGCTTGAAACAGTCGAGGAAAGTTACAGATGAAGAAAAGATAAAAGCTGCAGTTAAAGGTAAGCTGATTAAACCCGGTGTAGTCTATCCTGCATGCGCCAAAATTGATGTTTTGATTTGGTTTAGTATTCTTAATTGTGTTTCCTTGTGTTCTATTTTTTTAAGAGTACGAGAAAAACGGAGTTCCTAAAAACTTTGTGGACCAGCTTTTTGGCGGTGAAATGACCAGCACAATAATGTGCCAGGAGTGCAAAACTGTGTGTACTTGTAGCACAGAACATATTCACATTTTTTCCATAGTTTACCACAAACTTGCATGTATTTTATTTGAATTTTATCTGCTATGCTAGCTAACACAAAGTAATCCGTCATTGGAAATTCAGAGGAAAATTGTACATGGTATTTAAATTTTTTTATTTAAAAATATAAACCAAACTCAGCCATATTGAACACTATTTTTCAAATCTGCCATGTTTGCAATTTCTTCTATTGTCTTATAAACTCTGACCAGCAGGAAAACCCTCCCACTTTGTCCACTTCAAAATTACATAGTGTAATGTAATTCAGATAACATAAAATCCTAATGAAATATATGGAAGTTTTTGATTGTAAAATGACAAAATATTATCATCCCTATCGCTGTACACAAAAACAGTCTTTACTCCCTCACTTTTTTCAGGTGTCTGTTGTCACAGAGATGTTTTTGGATCTTTCCCTGCCTGTTTCCGATGAGGTGAATCAAATGTTTTCTTGAGGCCATGAGTTGATATTTGTCCTTGAGATGCTGTCATTAACATGCTTGTGTGTTTGTGACAACCTCTTACAGGCGTACAGAAAGAAAAACCCCAAAAAATTCACTGGTCCAAGGACCAGTGAATCAAGCCAAGATGAGAGAAATGGCTCTGATTTGATCAGCGGGAATGACGATTCTATGACCGGGGGCAGTAGCAAGTACCAGCAGAAAAAGGCTAAAAAGCAGGCAAAGAAGCAAGCAAAGGTACTTCATTAATTGCAAATGTGTCATTTTTTTGCAGCTTTTGTGTAAATTAATCTTTCTGGTGTGCAATAAAAATGGAAATATATATTATGTTCTTTTTTTTAGCATCAGAAACGGCAGCACAAGCTAGAAACCAGGTTAACTTTTGGAAATTTGACATCTCCAAGCAACGCAGATGGTGACCAAATTGATGTTACTAAAGATGCAAAGGACACAGAGAACGCTGACCATATGCCACATAAGGAAGACTCACTGAACGAACAAGATCCTAAACCTGTTTGTGAATCAGAACAGGATCAGAATGTCGAGCAGGAGAACGAGGAAGACAAGGATTCACCCACTGACGATGTCTCATTAGCTGAATCGTCAGTCAGCAACCGTTTTACCGTCTTGTCAGAGGAGCAGCACTCGCACGACAGCACTTCATGTAACGAAACGTCCAACACGGATCTGGAAGGAGAACTGGACACGCAGTTGGCAAATCAACTGGAACAAGTGACTCTGAATGACGCATTCATAGAGGATCTCGATTCCATGGATCCAGCCATAGAGAGTGAAGACGAAATGGAATACACAATAATAAACCAAGACCCAGAGTTGGCCTTCAACACCCTGTCCACCAGGACAAGCCCAGAGAAACAGGAGTGTTCAGTGCAGTCGTGCCTTTTTCAGTTCACCGAAGTGGAAACTCTCACACAGAACAATAGCCTGCTGTGTGTCGCTTGCACTAAGCGGCATAAGAAGGGTGAAAAAACTGGAGGTACATAGGTTTACGCATTATACTAACATGACCCACAAATATTTTGTGTTTTTAAAAGTAACCAAATGTAGTATATCCACAATTTTTTGCTTTTATTTATGGTTTTAGGATCTAAAAAGAGCATCTATACTGATGCCTTGAAGCAAATGCTGATCTCCTCCCCACCATCTGTACTTACCCTTCATATGAAAAGATTTCAGCAGGTACAACAGCTTGATGAAGTATTTAAGCCTTGTTTTGTTTTTGTTTGTTTTTTTTAAACACATTAACTT